GGACTCCCTCAGGTCTACCTGCCCTCGGTCTATCCAATAAATACATGTGCCTCTACTATGGGGGCTCTCAAAATTTGTAGTTAGGAACTACAGAATATCGGGGTGCCGTGACGAGGTTCTGTAGCCTACGCATGTATTTGCAAATGTGTTCTAACTAAACCCGTTTTTACCGCATACTGTTAGACTGGGTAATTCGGTTAGTTTGCAGGTTGGTTGGCAAGGTGAGCTGGGAATTTTTCTCTTGTCATTTGACATGCGTCGCCCTTCCATGTGCTCCTTGCTGTGAAAGCCAGTTATAGACTGGGACAGCAGCCACTTGTGAAGGCCAGTTATAGACTGGGGCAGCGGCCGCTTGTGAAGGCCAGTTATAGACTGGGTGTCAGGGATCTCAAGGTCCGCCGCGGCGCACGGGTCTGTGCATGCGCGGAATACCAATGCGCACCAGCATGCGGGCGCTAGGACATAGGCGACCGCGGCAACAATCGCGGATGCACGCCTGGCACCAATGACAGCGCAGGGCGCACTATTTAAATCGACCCCTTGCAATGCTCAAATTGCCGTATGGTCTTGTTCCTGTTGTTCCTGCTCGTTTTGTTCCTGAGATTGCCTTGTTGCCGACTTAGCCTGACCCTGATTGCTGTTTACCGTCTCCTGCCCTGACCCTTGGCTCGTTTTGACTTCTCTTCTGCCTGTTCCTGATTATCTGACCTCTTGCTGCTGAACCTGGCCCGTGACCCGATTACTCTCTGCCTACTGCTCTGTACCGTTTCGCCTCTGCTGTTACCGACCTGGCCTGCCTGACTTCGCTATCTCTCCATGGTGTCATCCGTCCATCCATCCTGCACGGATCCATCCGCTGCTGCCCAGATCTGCTCTGCCCCTTCACAGCAGGCTCTTATCCGCTACGTGCCACTTTCATTTACCTCTACCGCAGATGGGTGTACTCGGGGGCCGCGACCGGGTCTCAGCCTGCTCCAAGTCCATCCCCACCATCAGGGGCTCTGGTGAATAAGCAGACTGAGGCTTAGACTCCATGCCCTGGGGAATCCCGGCCTGTGGATCTCTAGAGTCACTGCCAGTCGGTACCTGACACTGGGACAGCGGGCCACTTGTGAAGGTCGGTTATAGACTGGGGCAGTGGCCACTTGTGAAGGCCAGTTATAGACTGGGGCAGCGGCCACTTGTGGAGGCCAGTTATAGACTGGGGCAGCGGCCACTTGTGAAGGCCAGTTATAGACTGGGACAGCAGCCACTTGTGAAAGCCAGTTATAGACTGTGGCAGCGGCCACTTGTGAAGGCCAGTTATAGACTGCGGCAGCGGCCACTTGTGGAAGCCAGTTATAGACTGGGGCAGCGGCCACTTGTGAAGGCCAGTTATAGACTGGGACAGCAGCCACTTGTGAAGGCCAGTTATAGACTGGGACAGCGGTCACTTGTGAAGGCCAGTTATAGACTCCTACTCTCTAGCTCCGTGGTCTCCTCCTCCCACGCCCGACTGCAGGACTTCTCCAGAACTTCCCCCATCCTCTGGAACTCCCTACCCCAATCCATCAGACTGTCACCTACCCTCCTCACCTTCAGGCGCACCCTGAAAACCCATCTCTTCAGGCAAGCCTACCCCACCCTCACCTAACAGCCGTTCTCCTCCACTCCTCCTACCACTCCATCCCCCTCAGCCACTTCCTCCTGTACCTCTACCCCCTCCCTCCTAGATTGTAAGCTCGAAAGAGCAGGGCCCTCGAACCCCTCGTGTATTGTATTGTTACTGTATTGTCTCATGTACTGTCCCCCCACTTTAATGCACAGCGCTGAGCAAACCTTTTGGCGCTATATAAACACTGTATTATAATAATAATAATAGACTGGGGCAGCGGCCACTTGTGAAGGCCAATTATAGACTGGGGCAGTGGCCACTTGTGAAGGCCAGTTATAGACTGGGACAGCGGCCACTTGTGAAGGCCAGTTAAAGACTGGGGCAACGGTCACTTGTGAAGGCCAGTTATAGACTGGGGCAGCGGCCACTTGTGAAGGCCAGTTATAGACTGGGGCAGCAGACACTTGTGAAGAAGTGGTTAAATCCCCTTTCTTCCCCATTCTGATGCTCAGTTTAAACTTCAGCAAGTCGGCTTCATCACATCTAGATGCCTAAATGCATTGAGTTGCCGCCATGTGATTGGCTGATTATCAATTTGTGTTACCAAGCAATTGAACAGGTGGACCTAACAAAGTGGCCAGTGTGTAAGCTCTGTGAGAGGGCTGCAGACTATACATATTGTTTTAAGAGTTACAAGGGAGCCCCCTCCCCAGATCAACAGACTATATGAGGAGCAACGGCAAGATAGTATAGGACTTGGTGTCACCCTTGTTCCTAAAGAGGTAGCATTAGTACCTGAACAACTTTCACACAAGCATGCCACTTTTTCTATGTTTGTTCATTAATGATATTGGCTGCTGTGGCACCATGCGACCCAGTCCCAGATGCTTCTCCTAATGGCACACTAACTCCCAACATAGAAATTGGGAGAAAGCCTGCTTGTGGAATGGAGAACTATGCGCAGTGAAATGGAAGGACAAACATTTTCGCCCAATCTTCCATTCACGCAGACATGACAGTCCAAATTTGCACGGCATCTGGTGTCATTGCAAAGCTTCTCTGTGTCCACGAATATCATTTTTATATGGGAGGCGTAGAACTCAACAACCAGATGATGAAGCCGTATTTAGTGTACGCTGGTACAAAAAAAATGTGTATATTTTTTTTCACTTGACTGTATATAAGGGTTTTGTCATCGACAAAGCAACTGGAAAAACTGGTTCTTTCCTAAAATTTCAGGAAGAGATCACCACAGCCCTTTGGTATCCAGAAGAAGCTGTGGTCTAAAGCCCAAATCCAGATGCAGTGAGCCGGCTGCATGAGAGGCATCTTCCAGATGTCCTCTCGGGACCCTAACCCAAAGGTCAACCCACAAAAGATGTTGCGTCTACAGTAGATGTGGAATGAGGCGGGACGCCTCCTTTCCTGACTAGTGATGGGCCGAACACCCCCCAGTTTGGTTCACAGTAGAACATTCAAACAGATTAAAAGTTCAATGCAAACAACGAACCTAATGCAAGTCTAAGGATCTAGAACTTGTAAAAAAGTGCCCATTTTGAAGGTTTATATGCAAGGTATTGGCCAGAAAGGGGTATGGGGACTGCCCTGAAGGACACAAATCAGGGAAAATTCGTTTTTAAAAATACAATTTTTAACTACTTCAAGTCTGGACACTTTCACCCCCCCCTTCCAGTCCGGACACTTTCACCCCCCCTTCCAGTCCGGACACTTTCACCCCCCTTCCAGTCCGGACACTTTCCCCCCTTTCCAGTCCGGACACTCCCCCCCTTCCAGTCCAGACACTTTCCCCCCTCCCTTCCAGAACGGACACCTTCACCCCCTTCCAGTCCGGACACTTTCACCCCCTTCCAGTTTGGACGCTTTCACCCCCTTCCAGTCCGAATACTCCCCCCCCTTCCAGTCCAGACACTCCCCCCCCCCCTTCCAGTCCGGACACTTCCCCCCCTTTCCAGTCCGGACACTCCCCCCCCCTTCCAGTCCAGACACCCCCCCCCCTTCCAATCCGGACACTTTCACCCCCTTCCAGTCCGGACACTCCCCCCCCTTCCAGTCCGGACACTTCCCCCCTTCCAGTCCAGACACTTTCCCCCCTCCCTTCCAGAACGGACACCTTCACCCCCTTCCAGTCCGGACACTTTCACCCCCTTCCAGTTTGGACGCTTTCACCCCCTTCCAGTCCGAATACTCCCCCCCCTTCCAGTCCAGACACTCCCCCCCCCTTCCAGTCCGGACACTTCCCCCCTTTCCAGTCCGGACACTCCCCCCCCTTCCAGTCCAGACACCCCCCCCTTCCAATCCGGACAATTTCACCCCCTTCCAGTCCGGACACTCCCCCCCTTCCAGTCCGGACACTCCCCCCCCCCTTCCTGTTTGGACACTTCCCCCCCCCTTCCTGTTTGGACACTTCCCTCCCCCCTTCCAGTCCAGACACTTTCCCCCCCCCGCCCCCTTCCAGTCCGGACACTTCCCCCCCCCCCCCCCCCCCCCCTCCAGTCCGGACACTTTCCCCCCCTCCTTCCAGTCCGGACACTTTCCCCTCCTCCTTCCAGTCCGGACACTTTCCCCTCCTCCTTCCAGTCCGGACACTTTCCCCTCCTCCTTCCAGTCCGGACACTTTCCCCCCCTCCTTCCAGTCCGGACACTTTCACCCCCTCCTTCCAGTCCAGGCCAATTTTAAGCTTTCAGCGCTATCACACTTTGAATGACAATTGCACGGTCATGCAACACTGTATATATATTTCCATCTCTACAGAACAGAGAGTGCACTGTCCACATGTGTTTATCTGCTGCTCCTCCGCGAACAGAAAACCAAAACTTTATTGTTGAGACAGACATGACAGAGTTTACCATAGATGCAGCTACCACTTCATACACACTGCCCTCTACTGGTTGAAGAACATATGTTGCAAAATACACAAACACCAACCCAGTCCCACACTTCATCCACGTCTTTGGTGACCTCTGACCTCCTTATGAACGTTTTCTTCCATGATGAAGATCAGCCATGGAGTATATCTGAGGTGTATATCAGGGTGTGCTTCTTTTCCACATGACAGCTGGAATGTCCAGCAACATTCATCTAGAAGACATTTCCCGCACTCAAGGCACTATTACACCTCCAGGGTTGTGTGGGACCCCTGATGTACAGGAAGAAAGGACTTCAGGGAGGAACATTTCTCTCACTCGGGACAGGAACGTGGCTTCTCCCTCGTGTGAGATCTCTGATGTTTGTAGAGATGGGACTTCTGTGAAAAACATTTTCCGCACTCAGAACAGGAATATGGCTTCTCTCCCGAGTGACATCTCTGGTGTTTATAAAAACTGGACTTATCTGAAAAACATTTCCCGCACTCAAGACAGGAATATGGCTTCTCCCCGTGTGCAACCTCTGGTGTTTGTTGAGACTGGACTTCACTGAAAAACATTTCCTGCACTCAGGACAGGAATATGGCTTCTCCCCTGTGTGACATCTCTGGTGTTTATAATAACTGGACTTATCTGAAAAACATTTCCCGCACTCAAGACAGGAATACGGCTTCTCCCCAGTGTGCAACCTTTGATGTTTGTTAACACTGGACTTCTGTGAAAAACATTTCCCGCACTTAGGACAAGAATACGGCTTCTCCCCTGTGTGCAATCTCTGGTGTGTGCACAGATTGAACTTCTTTGAAAAACATTTCCCGCACTCAGGACAGGAGTATGGCTTCTCCCCCGTGTGCAATCTCTGGTGTTTATAAAAACTGAACTTATCTGAAAAACATTTCCCACACTCAGGACAAGAAAACGGCTTCTCCTCCTTATGAGATATCCGATGGCTGTTGAAACTGGATATGTTTGAAAAACATTTCCCACACTCAGGGCAAGAATATGGCTTCTCTCCTGTGTGAATTCTTTTATGCTTATTAAGGCGGGATTTAAAATGGAAACATTTCCCGCAGTCAGGACAGGAATACGGTTTCTCACTTGTGTGAATTCTTTTATGCACATTAAGATGGGATTTAAAATGGAAACATTTCCCACACTCAGGACAGGAATGTGCCTTCTCATCTGAGTGAATTCTTTTATGCACATTAAGACGTGATTTAAAATGGAAACATTTCCCGCACTCAGGACAGGAATGTGGCTTCTCCTCCGTGTGAGTTATTTTATGTACATTAAGTCGGGATTTATAATGGAACCTCTTCCCGCACTCAGTGCAGGAGAACCTCTTCTCTGTTGGAAGGCCAGCCTGGTCCCGCACAGTATGAGGTTCCTCAGGAGACGAGGAATCCAATGGTCCATCTACACTGGGTGGTGCCGGATGGACATTGGAGGGAGCCGGGTTTTCTCCAGGACTATACTGTGTGATGTCCTCATCTTCTACTTTCCAGTCTGGAGACAAAGTGAGACAATCCTCTGAGGTTTTCCTCATCTCCCGGCCATGGCCTAAAATACAAAGACAAAGAGGATTACTAGACAGGAGCCCCACCAGAGGTCAGAGAGTGAGGATGGGAGAAGGACAACCAAGAGGAAGACTGGACTCATCCTGAAGACCACCATCATTGGGGTATTGGCCCCTCCCCGATCCTGAAGACCACCATCATTGGGGTATTGGCCCCTCCCCCATCCTGAAGACCACCATCATTGGGGTATTGGCTCCTCCCCCATCCTGAAGACCACTATCATTGGGGTATTGGCTCCTCTCCCATCCTGACCCTGAAGACCACCATCATTGGGGTATTGGCTCCTCCCCCATCCTGAACACCACCATCATTGGGATATTGGCTCCTCTCCCATCCTGACCCTGAAGACTACCATCATTGGGGTATTGGCTCCTCCCCCATCCTGAAGACTACCATCATTGGGTTATTGGCTCCTCCCCAATTATCACTTTCTGGTTGGAGGATGTGATCACATTATTATCACCATGTAATAGTCTGTGCTCCAATCACATCATCCGATATAAAATGTCCAGCTGGTAGGAAATGGGGGGAACAGAGAAGACATATTATGTGTATATATAGGAGTGGGGGGAGGGGGGTAGAGCAGAAGTCAGGAGTATGTAATGTACAACATGAAGATATAGTGCAGGGGTCAGGAGTATGTAATGTACAACATGCAGTATATAGTGCAGGGGTCAGGAGTATGTAATGTACAACATGCAGTATATAGTGCAGGGGTCAGGAGTGTGTAATGTTCAATAATCAGTGGTGACTTAATGTTTACTGTAGGCAACCTGCAGAGGTCCCACCCCGCTGCCTCCCGACTCCTGAGACTGCACTCAGTGACTTGGGTCTGAGACTATACAGACATATCCCTCCACCCGGCACAGCCAGGAAACTACAGAGCAAGTAACCCCGGGGGAATTGCTATGTTAGAGATCTCGTTAGACCCGGGCATGGGAATAAAGGCCCAAGACACATGCCCCGGGTGTCTACATTGAGGAACCCCTATGGTGAAAACCAACATTTTGCTGCCAGCTGAACCCCAGAATATCCATAAATCCAGTCTAGAGAAATAAATTGTGTCTGCAGCACAGAGAAGGAAGATTATCCAAAAGAAATCCAGGAATACAGGACGGGGAACACAGCTCAGGAAAGGGACCAGGGTATTACAGGCTGATATCAACCAGTCCCCGTCCTACTCTGGACCAATCAGTGAGCAGTATGGGTGGAGGAATGGATTTAGTGTTCATGACCCACCTGTGCTGATCTCTGTAGGAGTGTCCTCCTCTATAAGTGTCCCCGTTATTCCATCCTCCTCCATAGACTGCTGATCATCCCTCACAAACGCCTCTACTTCTGATTTCACCTCAAATTCTATATCGATTGGATCTCCACTCTACATCAAGAGAAGGAGAGAAAATAACATCTATAAGATAGAAGATTTATGATTGTGACATCAAATGAAAATAAAAAATATCATCTCCACAAGTCCATGTTCTAGATTCTTCATCCCACCAACCTTATAACAGTGAGGGATGGTGTGACCTTCCTGTGTGGAATCCCAGGAATACAGAGGACGGGGACATCTCTCTGGTGGGTTCCTGGTATTAGGTGGCTCCATCATATCCTTATGTCCTTCTGAAAACTCCACTATCACTCCATACTCCTCATCCTCCTCTTTATACTCTTCTTTAACATCAATATTATTATTCCCGAGTGTGGAATCCCGGGAATACAGAGGATGGGGACATCTCTCTGGTGGGTTCCTGTAGCTGGATGACTCCACCATGGTGTCCTGGTACAGATCTTTGTGTCCTTCTGGAATCTCTGACTCCTTCATCACCCCATCCTCATCATCCTCCTTTTTTATTCCTTCTTTACCTTCAACTTTACAATCTCTCATCTCATCACATCTCTCTGGTGGGTTCCCATGACTGGATCCATCTACCTGATGATGGTGAGGGACGGTGTGACCTTCCTGTGTGCAATCCCAGGAATACAGAGGACGGGGACATCTCTCTGGTGGGTTACCATGACTGGATCCATCTGTAGAAAAACACACACACTGACTGAATCCATTGTTTCTATGTGTTTATCAGATGATGGGGGATCTAGGTGGATCCTCCGTACTGCTCTCTCCTTTCCAATAAAGTCTCCTCTTACCCGGTGATGTGAGGGGTGGCTGATTGTCCATCGTGACGTCCTTGTAGAGGTCCTTGTGTCCTTCTAAATACTCCCACTCTAGAATCTTCTTCTTCTTTCTCTCTTCTATCAGGGAGGGAGGTGGAGGCAATGTGATGTCAGATGATCTCCAGACTTCACAGGAGGAAAACTCTGGATTTGAACACAAATAGTAAAATCAAATGACATTCCCAGAATCCTCCTCACCTCACCGGTCAGGTTTCCATTTTACTCCATTTTCCCTGAAGATGGGGAGAATTTGGGAGGAGGAGCTGTGAGGTCAGTGTGGTGTCATAGGATTCCCTGACTCTGGATGGAGGGACATTGGGAGGAGGAGCTGTGAGGTCAGTGTGATGTCATAGGATTCCCTGACTCTGGATGGAGGGACATTGGGAGGAGGAGCTGTGAGGTCAGTGTGATGTCATAGGATTCCCTGACTCTGGATGGAGGGATATTGGGAGGAGGAGCTGTGAGGTCAGTGTGATGTCATAGGATTCTCTGACTCTGGTTGGCGTTCCATTAGGAAGAGGAGCTGTGAGGTCAGTGTGATGTCATAATATCCTCTGTCTCCAATTGGAGGGACATTGGGAGGAGGAGCTGTGAGGTCAGTGTGATGTCATAGGATTCTCTGACCCTGGTTGGAGGACATTGAGAGGAGGAGCTGTGGGGGCGCTCTGTGAGGTTTCTGTACACAGAATCATTTCTCCCGAGTGCGTCCCACCTCTCCTAGTCTGGAAGATGAACGTTGTCTTTGGGCTTTGCCAGGAAACATGGTATTCCTATGATCTCCGTGTACTCCGGAGACTTTACTCATCAAATTTTAGGGTGAAACTCTGAGACTGGAATCATTGTGAAAATTTTACCTCCCTCAATCTTCTGCTTCTAACCTCTGGAGATATATCCCCAAACCCCGGGCCTCCATCATTTAACTGTGCCCAACTCTCCCATCACCCCATTTATTTTCTATTCCTCTTCTTCCAAAAACCAGCTTCCCCTTCTTTTTTGACCTTTGGAACGTCCACTCTGTCCATGACCTCTTTATCACTAACTACATGCTGTTACTGAAACCTGTCTTCATGAACCTGACACTGCTTCTTCCGCTTCCCTCTGCCATGATGACCTTCTCTGGACTCTGTCCCCCAGACCCAATGGATGGAAGGGAGGTGGAGTGTGAGTCCTTCTAGCCCCACACAGTACCTTTCAGGTACTTCACTCACCTCCCTCTCTTCATTTAATGCACATAGCATTCGTCTATTTTTTCAAGAATTGCTGTGATCTACCAGTCTTATAAACCTTCCTTGATGACTTCTCTGCCAGGCTACCCTACTTTCTCTCCCCACAATAAGTCTCGGAGACTTCAACATTCCTGTTAATATGGATACTCCTGCTACTTCTAAGTCTAACCTCCTCTTTTGACCTAAAGCAATGTACACAACTTTCTACTCATTCTGATGGCAACACCCTTCACCTTGTTTTCTCCCACCTATGCATTCCGTGCAACCGCATGACGGTGGAGGAAGAGGACAGGCGGTCGTGACGGTGGAGGAAGAGGACAGACGGTAGTGACGGTGGAGGAAGAGGACAGACGGTCGTGACGGTGGAGGAAGAGGACAGACGGTCGTGACGGTGGAGGAAGAGGACAGACGGTCGTGACGGTGGAGGAAGAGGACAGACGGTCGTGACGGTGGAGGAAGAGGACAGACGGTCGTGACGGTGGAGGAAGAGGACACACGGACGTGACGGTGGAGGAAGAGGACACACGGACGTGACGGTGGAGGAAGAGGACACACGGACGTGACGGTGGAGGAAGAGGACACACGGACGTGACGGTGGAGGAAGAGGACACACGGACGTGACGGTGGAGGAAGAGGACGGGACGGTGGAGGGAGAGGACGGGACATGACGATGGAGGAAGAGGACAGACGTTACGGTGGAGGGAGAGGATGGACGTTACGGAGGAGGAAGAGGATGGACGTGATGATGAAGAGGACAGATGTGACAATGGAGGAAGAGGACAGATGGACATGACCATGGAGGAAGAGGACGGACATGACGATGGAGGAAGAGGACGGACGTGACGATGGAGGAAGAGGACAGACATGACCGGGGGTTACTGGGTGTAGATAGAAAATAAAATTGTATTACCTCCTCTGCTCTACTTCGTACCTCATGGAACTTCCTGTCTATAGCTGACATCACTTCCTATATATATATATATATATATATATATACCTGACATCACTTCCTGTCTGTATCTGACAATACTTCCTGTCTTCCATAGAGACTTCCTGTCTGGTTTGAAGTGAGATCCCACCTTGTGGAGTTCAGAGGAACTGCAGCCCCCAGAACCGTCTGGTATTATTATTATTATTATACAGTATTTATAAAGCGCCAATAGTTCGCTCAGCGCTGTACATTACAGAGGAGGACAGAACATGTGACAGAACAATACCAATACAATGCAAAACATGAGGGGATTGAGGGCCCTGCTCTTTCGAGCTTACAATCTAGGAGGGAGGGGATGGTGGCACAGGAGGAGATAGCTGTGGGGGATGGAGTGGTAGGAAGAGTGAAGGAGGTCGGCAAGTTAGCAGGAGGTGGGGTAGGCTTCCCTGAAGAGATGGGTTTTCAGGGTGCCCCTAAAGGAGAGGAGAGTAGGTGATAATCTGATGGGTTGGGGCAGGGAGTTCCAGAGGATGGGTTACACCCTGGAGAAGTCCTGGAGGCGGGCATGGGAGGAGGAGACCAGGGAACTAGAGAGAAGGAGGTCTTGTGAGGAGCGGAGTGTGCATGCTGGGCGGTACTT